ACCTGAAATGTAAATTCCTGCATTCTGAGAAGGATACATACAATTCTGGATTCAGAAAAATGAAAAGCCAGAAAATAGGAGAAAATAGGAATTGCCCAGAAAATAAGAAAAATAGGAACTTGACACCCTGATACTGGATTATTACATTCGGTACCCTGTAACAGATGTTTTCCTGCCAGCAAATCTTTTACAAAGAACTGACAAATAGTACTAGATTTGAACACATGGACTGGCTAGGATATCATGCAAGTTAACATATTTCCTCACCAGTTGCTCCAGTTTAGTTCTTCTTTGTAGAATCGCTCAGCTTAGATGATTTTCTGGATCCACCACAACTTGTTTTCATTATATGGTGGATAGCGTAAGCTGAAATAGAAAATAAATGTTAAATTAATAAATAAGGATATATTATGTAACCAGGACCAAAAATATAAATACAGTATGTCACATCCTGTTAGCTATACCTTAAGCCTAGCGCACACACCCGAGCAAAACACCCTGAACGTGGAGCAAAACGTGTTTCTCTTGATGGAATCCGCACACAGCCACGAACACTAGCTGCTATTACCACTCGAGTTGAGTCAATATAATTGTAATATTTTTATTTGATCAGCATGACGACGTTTTTCGTCACCGGCAGTCGGTAGCTATATATAGCAGGGACTTCTTCATGTACGATGCAGCGCAACGCACACACCCGAGCAAAACGGAAAATTATGTTTTCCAGCGTTTCGCGTTCTGCTCGGCGAGCAACCGCACACACGCCACCCGACACAGCACACAGTTGAGCAAAACATACAGAAACACTGCGTACAGCGCCGCTGTCACATGACATCCAAAATGGTAGTCGCCATTTTGTGTGTCATGTGATATTTTTAAGGATATTGATTGGAGATCGTCTGTGGCGTTTCGCTGCGTAGCAGAACGATTGACGCACACACCTGAGCAAAACGTACGTCCAGGCGAAAACACGTTAATCAAATCAAACATTGCTTGTTCAGCTGAACATGCTCAGCTGAGCAATGTTTTTTGTTTCGAACCTACTAGTACTTGTAATACTCGTGTGTGAAATTAGCAATATATGTATCGTTTCCATTTCTCGAATACTTGTACATGTACTTTTCTAGACGTGGGCATTTAGTCCGTTAATTGAAATGTGTCTGGTGACATGGATAATGGTTTACAGAGTTAAGCGTCTAACCAAATTATCCTTCTCAATGATGACGATCTCACTGGTAGTGGTATTATCATAAATATACACAACACATTGTGTTGTGTATATATCTGACTATGGTGTTATGCACTCTGCTACAAAATTACTTCTGTCACCAACAATGTGCAGCGAACAATCATGGTTCTTCAACAATCACCTCACTGGTTGTAGGCACAAATGCAATACATCAGCTACATGTTTTGTAGTAGGTCTCAGGGGAGAGATAGTAAATATAGAAATAAGTTGTAGATATAGAAATCAGTTAACCCTAACATTAACCCTAACCCTAACCCAGGGCTGCCAACTCTCACGCATTCGGCGTGAGACTCACGCAATTCACCCAATTCTGACTGTCTCGCGCTGATAAACGAATTCTCACGCTGAATCCCGAAAATAGAAAGTAAAAAAAAATTATCTCCAAAATCTCTGATATTCGGATTCCGAACATTAGATAGATATCATGCCCAAGCCCAAAGTTCCGAGATTTTCCCGCAGGCGCGCACTGCGCTAATGAAAATCGTTGGCGCGCAAAGACGAGCTATTGGATTACGATTGGTTTATACTGCGTGTACGAGTGTACGTACGTGTACGTGTGACGACTTGGGCTTAGCGGACTATTGTGCATGGTGAGTGTAGTAGTACGGGTTTGCGCTCGATCGTATACCGTACGCGTACTACCTCACCTGTACCAAACGGAGTTACAAATCTGGAACTTTGCTATTTTCATGGTCAGTGAACTACATGCAGCATTAATAACAATGTGAATGTAATCTATTTATTACTTTTTCAATTCAATTTAGTACATTAATGCTGCTTCTATGTATGTGTTGAAATCATGACTAAAGTATGCACCAAGATTGCACCATTTCAAATGTAAAATTGCAAAAGCTCCCTACCGTCGGAGGGGGGATACCCCCTCCCATACCCTCCCCCCTCAGTCGCTTCACTCTCTCGGGCTTGGTCGCTCCGCTCCCTCGCAATGTCTCACGCAAAACTCTTACTCAAGGTTGGCAGCCCTGCCTAACCCTATCCTTAATTCTAAAATAAAACAAAATACACAAAAAATAATAAAAAATAAAATAAATAAGAGACAAAATTAGCCAATCAGAGCCGTCCCCTAGCGGATCACTATCTCTCCCCTGTGCAAAATCCCATGTTTTATTAAAACCAGTTTCTCGTGTTTAGTACCACTATACTGTACATACCACACACATATACACAACATGTACACAACTGAGGAACGTAATAAGAGACAAATTAACCTGATGTTTATGGTATATATATCATACATTTGAATTTTGTCTACTTGAAACAAAGTCAATATCAACTTGTAGTTTTGAGATGCAACTCGACATAAGTACTATGCATATGTGTGACTACTTCTAAACATATACATATGTTAGAAGTTGGCTAATGTATAGTGAAACAATGGTTGATAAATGAGTAAATGAAATGAAAGAAATTAAGAGTTGTATGAACTTCTATCTGTATACATTTACTGATTGAGATATGTAGGAAATATGCCGAATGTGCTGAGAGAGTTGTATGTTGTTTCACTTGAATATTCAGAGGCGGATTCAGACCGTATTTGCCGTATTGGGAAATACGGTCTAGATAGATCTATTGGGTATTGCCGTATTGGGAAATACGGTCTAGATTTCAAAGTGCCCTTCGAAATTTTGCGCTAAAAAATACAGAAAACAATTTGATGGAATTTGTCTATATTCTTTATTTGTTTTCTTTTTCTTCTGATTCATTGACAGGACTTGAAGGAAATCAAAATTTTACATGGTAACAAAACTAGCTTTGATATCTGAAAAAGAAGGGAAGTGCTTGAATCATTCTGCTTTAATTGCTGGTATGCAAAGCGCAGGCAAAATGAAGCAGAAATAAAATTCCATATGGTTTTTAGCTATTGCTGATTGGCTAAATGTGTGCTCAAATGGTGCTCATTTTTGTGCCCAGGGACCCTTGAAATTTTGAAATTTTCTGGGGGAGGCCCCCCAGATCCCTCGCCATGTGCTTCCGTGCCTAACGGCGCCCACTGTGGGGTGGTGTGCCCTTTTTGGGGAATGTGCCCTTAAAATCTGGAAAAATACTATCTAGCTTCAGCCCTGGATCCGCCCCCTGATATTTGTAAGAGTTGATCGTCTGAGAAGTAATCCCCGTATCCCCTCAATACAAATGATAGTGTTGCATTGTGATTAGCGTCTATTCTCGGGGGATAGCTCGATGGATATGCCCGTTGCACGGTCATCAAACATCAATCTAGAATCTAGAATCGACAGCGGCGTGTGGCGAAGAATCTTTATTATGTACTTTATACCATACACATACATGTGCAAATCATCAATACGTATATGCTATAAAGAAGTTAGTGGAAGTGCGTTTCATCGCGTCTACGTATTTCTAACAAGTACGATTTACGAGACAGAGTAAGTTTAACTAAGTTCATCTTCGAATAGTACAATCATAACAAGTATGATTTTACACGAGAGAAATACGTAATGTAAATCATACAATATAATACTAGTAAATATTACAATCATAACAAGTATGATTTTACACGAGAGAAATACGTAATGTAAATCATACAATATAATACTAGTAAATATTACAATCATATCAAGTACGATTTTACGCGAGAGAAATACAAATATATTTACCTAGAACCGACAGCGACGTGTGGCGAAGAATGGTGACGTTTGTGTGGATATCAGAAGGCAAAACTAGAAAGTACGTATGAAACCGCCGGTCAAAAACATCGATCGTAATTTATTACACAGAGAATCAGCTTGGCGGGAGGGAACCTTAATTGTTTATGCCCAAAATGACGCGCATGACCTAAACAAACTCGCCGCATGCGCAGTTGTATATGCCGAACTCGCATTATTAGGCACGATGCTATGGCTAGAGCGTATAAAGATCTTTATTTCGGCTTTTATCGTAAAAAAGCTTCTTTTATGCGGCTCTTGATTCTATGCGCTCTTGATTGCTATGTGCGCTCCTTGATATCACGGGATTTTTCCGAGGCGGGTGGCGAGTATTAGGCGGATCCGAGTGATTGTTGCCGATCAACACACAGAGACAGCAGCACGGCGCGCAGCACACACGCACACGCACACGCACACACACACGGCACCACGCAACACGCGCACGGCGCACGTGGCGACATACGCAGCACCACCACATACGCACAACCGCAACGCGACGCAACAACAGACACATGGCACACACACACACCAAGGGAGGTCGGAGCGGAGAAGCGACACACACAGCACACACACCACAACACACACAACACACACCACACACACAAGAACACGCACGGCAAATAGCATCACAGAATACAGAAAGCACAGCAGCGCACGACAGCAGCAGAGGAAGGCGGTCAGCACACCAGAGCAGGGGGGAGGAAGGAAAAGGAACGTAAAGAGGAAGGGGAAGACACACCACATCACACACACAAAGGTCAGAAGCGTACGGACGGTGGAAAGAAAAGTCCGCGCGCGCCCCACACACGACCACAACGGCGTCGGCTGTCTCTACGTCATCCCGTGCCTAGTGTGCTTCCCGTGGTGTGCTATCTCAACGAACGTCTCATTACCGAGCACAAGGAG